TCAGTAGAAATGTAAAGCTTAAAATCCACATAATATAATAGTTTGCTCATTGTCCATCTAAAAACGTTTCCAATCTAGAGTCTGGCATTTTAATGAGGTTCTTTCCCACTGGAACATAGAATTTATACTGACACTTTCCTGGTCATAATTTCGTTGTTAAAACGTGATTGGTCCTTTGTGATTAGCTTGAACACTATCTATCATTTTCATAAAAAAAAATTTGAACAGAAAGAGAGTTTCATCCATCCAGGAAGCAAAATGAAATTTCAAGATATCATTGTAGTTGATTATTGTAACCTACAACGATTAACCGGATCTGTGTTGGTACTAATCCCACGAACCGAAAAAATATTATCCATAGTAAGTAAACAGTTCCGCGAAAACAATTTACGCTAATTCTATTATTGATCATTAATCGAACCAAAATTATTGGGCAGCATGATGAGTAACGTCCAAACCAACTGTAAGCAGAAATAAAAAAATGTTTGATCAAAAAGGATACTATATACCGTCTGCAAGCATATTTTGAAACGCCATTACTGAGTAATACAATAACATCTCTAGAAATAATAGAGACTTGACTTTTCAAACGTTATTGGCATTTCAGCTAAAATGCACAGACGAATAAGCGTTTAAAACCTGGATATCTATTTTTTCATATATCTCGTAAATAATTTCATAATGTTGATGTCAACGATTATTTTTTAATATTTTTTTACTAATCATGCAGATTTGGGCGACTTGGAGAGTGTCTTCTAAGACATCCTGAATAAATGGTTTGATCCGTAATAAAAATGTCGAATTAGAATTTTTAATCATTAAATCAGACCATCAGACTATAGATATTTATGTAGATCTGTGGGATAGTTCCTCAAGAGTCTACAAATTCCATATTAGAAATATTAACCATTGTTAAAATCCAGCTTGAAACATGAAATATGCTTGGTATACGTGATCTTTAGAAGTTTTACAAAGATGTCTACATAACGAAATTAAATTCTATAATATTTTACTGATGTATGAGTCTAGTCGGATCATTTAGATTTAATATTCCAAGGATTTCAGACATAACTTTTACCAAATATATATTTAGGGACTTTTATTCACCTAATCAATGTTCGTAATGAATTATGTTATTCCGGTTAAAATACAGATGTGAATTGTTCTGACAAATGGCCACGAGTCCAATATTGACATTAATAATGGACTCCAAATATTGGACTCTTGGTCCTTTGCCAAGTAGATGTGACCTGTTTTATAAACGTATTCACGATTGAATTGGCTTCAAATAGTATGTGAACACTAGTCATAATATATATAAGATGTGGGTTAAAGCAATATCTTAATAAACAACACTAATGTTTCAAATTGGATACAGCCAAGGGAATAATAATTCTAATAGCTTGGTTATCCTTGTCACTAATTGCTTATAAAATTTAACAATGTAAAATGTAAATCACGAAATGATGACGTAAATGCCATGACAGTGGTTTATATAGGGGCCATAACAAATTCTCGACCTTCCTAGATTACTCTCTGGCAAACTCAGTTCTAAATCACATTTTGGCTATCATTTTTGTATGAATTGAAATATTTATCTCAAAATATTGCTGAGAGTCTTAGATTGTCTTTGGGTTGATGAAAATGCAAACCATTGAAAACAAATTTTTTGAAACTATGATTTTACAGAGGGAGATTTTCAGTTCAAAATGTGTCATTTTCACATAAAGTTTCTTGGAGAGAAGTGTGTTCATTTCAAGTGCAAAATTTTCAAAACTTCTATATTCATGGACCAAAAGGCATTCTAAGACATTTGGTATGCACTTGAAAATCATATTTTGAATATTTATCACATGAGAGAAAAAATTCAAATTAGAACTCAATGTGGCCAGAGAGGAGATATATTTTACAAGGAATCCCCAACATATCTAGTGCCCTATTGAATCCAGAAATTGGAGCAGAGGGCGCTCGGATGCCACCTCGGTCAATGAAATCCTCACCATGCTACTGAACATGAATCTTGTATTTCGAATCTGAAATACTTGTTTAAGCCATAAAGGAAAGGGAAAAAAACTGACCTGTATAAACATACATATTCAAATTGTAATCCATAAGTCACAGTCCAGATATACGAAATTAAATAAGACATTTCGAAAGATTGCCTGTATTGCTGGACATGTGATTGGATCTCATGTGACCTATATTTATAGCACTTACCTGAGTAGAAGTAATTGTTAGTGAACTGTATTTAAAGTTGGTTAATGGTCTTAAGCTACGTCTAATAATGACGTAGTAATTGGACCATCTGTCCTCGTCCAACGATCATTATTAGACGAAGTATGAAGGACCGAAGTAGTAATTGATGTCGCATGGTTTTCAAACTGGTGCTCGTAGCCATTTTAACATTTCGATTTGTAAATATAAACACAAGCACGAAACTATATATTATGAGTATTGACAACCCCTCTAGAACAATTACGACAATTAAAACTTATATTATTGTAGAATGCCAGGGAGAATTGTGCAACCGTTTCAGAAGATCAGTGTCTGATGCTGTTAATGGAAGTTAATATGAAGTGATCTATTAGAATACAATCTGAAGACAGTCTTAAAGACAGAGTTACATCACTAGTCAATACTCACTATACATTATCATCTTCTCTTATATTCTTGCAGACATTTTCTTAAAAGCACTTTTTCAAAATAAGTTTCCTTTAGAATTATCCATTAGGCACGGCACCAGTCTGTCTGGCTATCTAATATTTCTATATGAGATTTCTCAAACATTACATTATCTTCAATTTGATCATGTAACAATGTCTATGAGCCTATTTATATGTAGAAAAATACTTGTTATTTTGCCCCTTTCTGTTTGTGAGTGATAAACAATTTATGCGATATTTGCAAAACAATAGTCTTCAAACAACATGACAACATTGAGATCCTGAGACATATATTACCTAATACGAAATTAATCCGATTTGATTCATTCTTGTAAAATATGTGGTGAGAGGTGTGGGATTATCGATACAGTAGATAGATCTAATACACTAATTTCTAATATCAACCAAAATTCAACTATGCACCGTATCTCATATACATGTACTTCAACCTGGATAGACTCACTAGCAACTAGCGACTACAGCTCCGACCTTTTGAGTCGCATGACATGAGCATCTGATGACAACTAGTCGTACTTTTTTCAATCGTCATTGCGTTCGGACCGACTTAATTCAACAATTGATTAAATTCTTCTGGTTGCAGCCTGCTTCTTCAGTAGTTAGAAATCAAGTTGCTCACAGATTGTCGAGAAGCACTGAGTGTCTGTACCTGCCAGATCCGTTGTACTGTGCTAAAACCGTTTAAGACTGCAACCAGACAATGAAGGTCTGCACAGATCAATGAATAGCAAAATATTTCAATTTACGTGTTGTATTGCTGTTTCATCTTTATACAGGCTTTACACGTTAAAGATCCCTCGACAGTTGGAAATCGAAAAACAGCAGGCTACTACCGTTGTCCTGGCCAAATTGTTTTCATTGTACCCTGCATGGCCGGTCTTCATTAGCCCACATGGTGGAAAACAGGTCAGTCTTGCATTGTGAAGGAAAGAAACATATTTTCAAAGTAAGCTTTAAAATCTCTTTGAAATAAATTAGGCGGCTCAATCGTGAAGGTGTTTTCAGAAATAAACTGTAGAAAACATTATTTACTTCTGGATTGAATGAAATATTGTAAAGCATATCAGTTTGACTCAATTTTCTTCGTATTCCAGATAAGAAATGTCACAGTTAGTTCATTAGTCAATCTAGTATAAGAGAACGGATATGGCGGAAATTAAGATACATCAAGTTGAGTTTCAAATTTCAGTTGATTCCAAGAGAATAACATGATACATTAAAGAGATTAAATGGTTTTCAGGATATAAGACATCGGCACCATCGTTTTGTTGTATTTCAAATTGGATTGTTTCGGTCTTCTTAGCATTTCGTCCCAAAATATCAACGTGTCAAATCGCTTCGAAAAGTGTTATATAAAAATATGATCTAGGTACCAGATTTATCTTCATGATATGTGTTGTGTCTTGAAAACAAAATATCTCATTTTACGCTATTCTCACTTACATTGAAAGCCACCACTGTAAAATCAAAACTATTTTACATATATCATTGCAATTAGACTCTGAGAGAAACAATAACATTAGCTGATCCAACTTAGAAGAGATGATTAATTTTATCAAATTTAGTCATTTTGCCAACTTTCAAATTACAATGATAAAATATTTTCACTTTTTAAATAATACATCAATTGTAGAGCGAAATAGAAATGTTAAAAAAGAACTTTAAAAACATGTTGTTATTCAGAGTTTCACGATATGTGATCTTCAGACAACTTTCAAAATATTACATTTCTAAAAATCTTTTAAAAACTTATTTCCCTTGATACGACATCTATTGAGAAATGTGTCTGGCATGTTTTCAGTGTCTTATATAGCTTGTCAGTCTGTACAGTCCCTTCAATTTCTATTAACGTCTAGAATTAACAACATTATTGTAAAATATCAATGTTACCTAAATTTTGCTTCTAAACTTCTAAAGTCTGGCATATTCTTTAAGATATCTGTTACCGTATTAAGGTATAAACCTAGACTTTGCAAATGGTACACACGTGATTCCTTGAAGTACAAACATAAATTTTCATCTTTCATATACATGTAATCTGAAAACTTTCTTGCGCTTTAGTCTTGGTCAATGGTATCCTATTTCCAATTTAGATTAACGGTCAGAACTCAATCCAAATTAATCTTATATTATTTCTCTAATGTGGATATCAATAATTTTATTTAGCATTTGTAGAGTTAAAAAAATATGAGCGAAAACGGGGTTTCGTATTAATTAGTTTCGTTTGAATCCTTTAAAACAGTCTTGCAAAATTTGGATTTGGATTAATGAATATAAATAATTTGGCTTGACTGCTCCATTTCACCACTTGTCGCACATCTACAGGGCGCCGAAAACATCCGGTTTGGTTCCACACAACTCTGGATAGGAGCAAGGAGCACATTGGTTCTTATGGGAAGGTCCACAATGACAAGCTTTGTTTTGGCAGCAAGCACAATCAAAGTCTGTTGGATTAAATGGGCATGAACATCCAGTCTTTTTTCGAGTCCAAGCATCTATTCCAAATTCTGGTGACACTTTCCCTAAAAGAACACAATCAAAAAACGCCTTAACAGATGCTAATCTTACATTCATTACCTCCAAAATCCCACACAATTAACCTCCAGGGTGAATTTTACCGCAATCTGGGAAACAATTATCTCATGACTTTTGATCTGATCACAATCTTTTAACAAAGCAATATAATTGACCCTACAGAAAGAAATAAGAAATGGTAACCTACTCCTTGAACAATCAGTTGATTCATGGCCACATTGAGTACACTGTTGTGTGTTTGGTTGTAGACAACGACAGCCCCCTACCTCACAACATGCACATTGTCCCAGTGCATCACTGGAATCACATGGACAACCTGTACGATTACTGAAACAGAGATGAAGCCAAGATAAATAGTTATGTAAAGTAGTCAGTAAACATCAAATAATAAAATAATCTTAATTCTATCATATTTTCTTGATTCACATTACATTTTTGGAGAAAGGCATTTAACATCTTACAATCCTATTAGTAGAGATTAGTTTACCGCTCTATATCTTACCTCGTCCAAATATCCCATCTTTCATATAATCTCTTTTGTGCACATTTACAATCTAAACCTTTAAAGAAAATGTAAAATGTGAACATTATCTTACGCTTTGTTTAGCGTAATCTTTCGCTTTTCAAGCTTCTTGGTATGAACGTTTGAGTTATTTCCCATATAAGAATGTAATTGTAATCCCAGCCGACTCCAGACACACCTCGAAAATACTACATCGATCTCGAAAATACTACATCGATATTTGACGATGAAACAAACAAATTTATTGACTCTGATCTTGGATATGTTCTCGAAAACTCTGATGTTACCTCTATCTGGTACTTACCTGGCTGTTGGATTCTCTGTGGTGGTGGTTGTGGAACAGGAATAGTTGTTTGAACTGAAATAGTTATAAAATTATATATTCTTTTAACAATCTAGAAACAATGTCTACTCTTAAATGCTGAAGTCAAGCCATATTTGAAGTACAGTTCATTTAAACCAGTTGATAGCAAACCTGAAGAAAGATAATCTGAATTGTTGAGTTATATGGTTTGGCAAGTCAAAAGGGTTGTAATAAGGAATTTATCTTACCTTTGCTACTCCAACCCAAACTGTTTGTTAGTGGATTACAATGCTCGGAAGGATTATTGGGATTAATATCCCCTGTTTTCCAACATTTATCACCAATCAAACAAGTTTCAGTCTAAAACAATACAGAAAACTTAAGAAATAATCGTTGCGTTTCTAGCAAATAACCAAGTTTGTGTTTGTTTTGTGGACGACTCCATTTCAAGCAACAATGATTTTCACTTTGATCTACACTTTCCGAATTTAATGAACAGATGGTTTCAGTTTAAGATTATTTTTTAACTTGGCCCTTGGCTTCAAAACAGATAGTTATTCAAATTATCTAATGAAGCTGGTAATGTCTCTAGGAAGTCTGGAAAGAGAAATTTCTTTATTACACTTACCCTTTGGCTACAGTTTCCACACGATCTACATTGTAAACAATTAGAATCATAAACTGTGTACATTACTTTATTACTATATCTAACACCATCGATAGTTACACATAATAAATATCTGGTTATAGCTTGTCCTAAAACATACACCAGTAATATCATCATATTGTGTCCTTCGTTCATGATGTTATGTCATATCTAGTTGCATAAAAATTTGGAACTGACCTGTTTAAGCTAATCTGCATGTTTAGCTGTTACTTTTGCAATATGAATAATATTTTTTCTTTATAGTCAAAAAATATATTACCTTGAAGAAGTAAATTGGTAGGTATAATACACATAACTTCTCTATTACTATGATAATCAGCTTCTATTTGACTACTAATACCAGGTTGTGGTCGACCGTTTACCATCTACAATATAACAGTTATATATTTAAAAAATGTCTGGTTACAAGTATAGTAAGTTATGCTGGTTGAATAAAAAACAAGAACTTACAGATCAGTTCGTCGTAGTAAAATGGAACAGTGTTTAACAGACTCACTTTTTGTCGAGGTGTCCTTAAAGTACACAGTCTGCAACATGCAGTGTCTAATTATGACACTGTTTAAAATGTGAATTTACCTTCATAATGGTGATCTGACAAGCTAGATTGGGTGTTTCTATAAAATTACCAACTATAAGATGTGGATATTCACACGATGATACCATTGGATCGCAAACTCCGTCTCTGAAAGCAGTTTGTTATCAGATGTTAGATGGTAACGTTCGGAGTACAATGTAGGCCTGATGAAAACATTCACTCATAATCTGACAGATTGAAATAGTAATTATCTGAAATTGTTAGGATTTGCATTGTAATTCTGTATCTCATGATAACCAACTTTCCCTTTAAACCATTCGGCTTTAATAGTGACCTAATAGTGGCTAAATGATTTGAATACCAGTAGTAATACTTGTATACTATTACTCTACTTGTCTGTATAACCCTGGAAATCCTTACACCACGAGAAATCAATTAAAGCACTGAATCCCATACCCTCTCATAATGATAATCTGTGGAGGAGAATTCATCCGTACTGAGCAATCTATTCCCGTGTATCCTGGATTACACCTACATATACCATCACCACATCTTCCTCTCAAACTACACTGATTAGGACACATCAGAGTCGTCACTTCCGGTGGTGGTAAACGTCTGCCATCATCACCTTGCTTATAATTAGTAACATTCTTCATCACCGCCTCTTGACAGTTTGCTTCAAAGGCGGCTACCATCCCGTGAACAAAGTAATCATTTCCTGCCAACTGAAAAGTAACATTTCCAACATGGTAAGGATTTATTGACGTTGTGATATAGAATCGTTTATCAGGAAATATTAGCAGTGTTGTATCTACTTGCAATTGTGGACATGTGTTGTCCAATAGTTCTTAATAAATGAAAATGATATCATGTGATAAAAGATCATGGGTTCGCAGTGGAAACGTTCGGTAATTTTGATCAGGCGTCCTTATGTTAACAAGAAAGAAGGTATGTGATATGTCAATGGGGAGAAAAACTGGGGCTTTAAGAATACTAACCAATGTATCTTGGACACATGATGACATAAAACCCGATATATGAAGAGATACCGCCGTAGAGCACTCTATACCAAGTGAAATATTAACAATACTTTGAGAACATAACTGTCTTGCATCGCTTTCATTTACAATAGTTTTTGTTGGTCTTTTAAATTCAGGTATAACTTAAAATATAGTTCAATTTTTCATTAAAAATATGGCAAACCAATGAGATAATGTGTAAATGTCCACTTGAAAAAAACTGGACAGGAAGTACATCACATACACTTGGCATTGTTGGTTTGTTGACTGGATTGAAAATAGATTTCGTGTTCCATCTCGCTTACTTTGAACTCGTGGTTTTTCTTTGTGAGCGTATGAGGTACCAATATTTTAGTAATCTTACCTATCTGTCTATCTGGAGATGTAGGTTCGTCATGACTCTGGATCTTACCCACAATCTTTACTGTAATATCTACATAGTTCTTTATTGTCTGTAAAGAAAAGCAACAATCATAAAATCACTCATTCGTTGACGATTACTTGCAAAAGTTTGGTCAGTTTTCTTATATCAAGGAAGGACAATAGGGACACGTCAAATTTAGTTTATAATCTGCTATGTACTACGATTTTACCATATATTCGTCAGGATCAAAGTTTCGATGACAGTTTAAAAGATATACATTTTTGTCTGTTTTCGCCGAGTGATACATATCTATAACGAAGAATTCTTAAAATATTTAAAAACAAATATGCAATTGAATGATATACAAACCAGTCTGTTAGGATCCTGTACAATCTGTGTTGTACCACATTGAGTTATACCATGTGAAGGTTTACAGAAACACTGTACAGGTGATATAATTGGTAATAATGATACAGATGTTGATACTCGGTTAAATTTACCAGTAAATAAACTTTCTTCTGATGCGATCCTAGTCAAAGATTAAATCAAATTGAACGTGTTGAATTTTGGGGGATTATGTCAACATATAAAATGGCTAGATGAAAATATAACAGTAGTTATTCCAACTGTATAACTGATGTTGAGTTGACCTACCAGATATCCCACAAACCAACAGCATCAGTGAAGAGTAATGAACCTGTCAAAAAGGTGTCCCGGAAAAAAATCAGATCTCTGATCAAGTTCCGCGATGCTCATACTGATGACTTAATATAGATCCGATTACCTCCAAGATCTCATAAATTCAACAGGGTGATCTGAATCAGGATATAACTGTCCATTTGGTGAAACAAACGCATTGGCTTGGTTATTGTCAAACGTTCCACATATTCCTTCGAGGTAGCCGTAATCTTTCGATGTGGCTTGTACTTCTACATTTAAATATGATCGGAAATCCTTGACTCGAACCCAATTTCCAGATTCAAAACTAATCTGAAATGTGAACAAGGAAATAATACATGGATTGAAGTCCTGCTTAGCAATATATCAAATTGTCAATAGTGATGATATATAACTAAGTAATAACTACCAGTAATAAATGCTTATCTTCCTCAGGAAACTGGGTTAAAGCTATATAGAGTGAATTTCATCTGGCACCAAATGCAATATAATTCTATAAATATTCTATGTAAATCGACTCCGAATTTGAGAATTCCACATTTCCTATAGAGCAAAGCTATATTGTTTACTAAATTTTGGCAGATTTCAAAATGAAAACGGTCATGTAATATAATAGGCCCCAAAGTAATGACTTTATTTTTGTAAATAAGACCTATCTTGATGACAGATTGATAAGAAAAGTAAACACGTGTATAGAGTAGTTACCATGAAGGTTTGTCCATCTCGTGATTTATGGATTGTGGTACCGGTAGATATTGTAGTTCCTGACAATACTTTAACTACAGCCGGTAGAGTTCCAGTGTTCTGACAGATGTCTACTGATATAACATCATTACCATTTCGTATAGCTACAGCACAAATACAGCCACGTCCAACACACGCCCAGGATCGCACATGGATCTAAACAAAATTGAAATTTAATGGAGTAATTGGACTAGAATAAACACTCTGGAGTTTTTTTGAAAGGCATAACTGCAATATTTTGTTGAGAAACAGTTTCGTGTTAGTGGAGTTATTTTCTTTTCATTTACAAACTTCCTCTGCGTTGCCTTTTACCAAACTTTAAATAAATGTTTATGATCAGATGTCCCAATTTAATCTTAAAATATTACAAATTTCTGTTTTCATGGCGAAAACAGACCTCGAATGGTCGTCTGGTATTCTTCACCAACACAAAATCTCCTTCTTCATACAGATGATACACTCTGAAATATATGTATATAAAGTAATGTTTTGAATTATTGATTTATTTGCTCAAATTTTAGCTTATTCAATTTGTAAAATGTTGATAATAAAAAATGATCTTTACTGTTTTATGACCACCATGGAGTGCATTGAGTAATGTATGGCTTTACATAATACAACGGAATAATTTTACTAAGACTAGTGATATCCACTGATGTCTGATGGAGATAAATGAACACCACCTACCCTTCTCTCTGTAGACCTCTAATATGGGGATCTGAAAAAGCATAACATCTAGTAGTTTCGCCATCTAATGTAACCACCTAAAATAAGATAATTTCGAAAATTACAATTTTATTCCACAATATTTCACTTAGATACAGAAGCAGTTGCACATTAACGTATAGACTACTGTTTAAGTTGTACTCCCCATTCTCTACTGCTGGAATTAAACGGTCTCAAATCCGAGTATCAACTAACATATTGGCATCACGGACCTCTGAATTGCCAATATAGCATTGTCACCAACCATGGACTTCAAAATGATCCAAATTACCTCTGCTCCCTGAAAACTATAGCCTTGCCAAATCTCTGGAGCGAAAGAGAAATCTGGGTGGAAATTGACAGAAACTTTCTGATCACCATCATCAATGAAGTCATTGGTTGCCATAATGCTAGTTGTGGTTATCACATATTTTTCAGTAGGGTTCCAGTTTAATGCCTTTAATTGTAGTCTACAATCGGTAGCTGTTGCTATATCATCTGAAAAGTAAATGGGTGTGATGGAATTTTGCACGGGGCTACAAAATTCTAATTTTTCGATCGACATTAAGCTCAGATCCAACGCGGTTTCGACAATAATTTTTTCACGATCAATGATCATCAGTTCTGAAAGCAAATACCTCAGCAACTATGAGCTGAAAAGCACCATTACTCCCTACGTGGGTCCATTTGATTATTTGATTTTAATTCGGGAGCATTGTGAAAAAAGAAATCTTACCCCAAGCTTCACCATGAACATCAACAGTAAGATGTATAGCACAGTTGGATGTATTTAAACATATTATTGGTAAGGTACATGTTATATTTAGTTGCTGTTCATCACCTCTCTCACTAACAGCTACATAACCTGGTGATACCTGTTATATTACCAGAAATATTATATCGATATGTATAATACGAAGATACGTGTAAAAGCCCGAATGGGTGCTCAATTTGAATCATACATCGTTAAGGATTGTTTGGCTTCACATTTTGTAATAGCATCTATGTAAACAAACTAGAATTTAGCATCAGCGTATATATACTGTCGTTACCTGTAATTCCGGTATTGTCAAGTCTGAACAAGTGACGTGTTAAAATACTTAAATATCAACTTACAGAAATTCCACCCCAATATCCATTGCTTTCATAAAAGTGACTTTTTACATTAGGCACTGAGAGATAATATGTTCTTACATGACAGCGCAACTGAAATTAAACAACAAATCACCATCGAGTTTGTCAACAGCATAAAACACGTAAATCCAAGAATTGAATCCTCTAAATGAAAAGTTTTGAGAGTTATCAAGTGTTTTTAAAAGGTAAACTTAAATTGTTGCGTCAGAGGCATCAACAATATTTACACTGTATCAAAAGTAGAAGCACGATGCTAGCACGATGCTAAGTAAAGTTGCCGAAGGGTCATATCAGGGGTACATCCGGAATGACTTACCGTTTTACCAATGTTCCCTTTCCAGTAGATTTCATCAAGATATGAAACATGTACAGTTCCAGTCATGGGCTGTGGTAGAAAACCTTCTAGAGGTTGATTATCAAATGACCAAGCAATATCGTAGCCTATGTTATCATTTTCTTCTGGTAGTGTGACATGACAAGCGAACCTGAACTGGCTACCAACTATCTCTGGTCCAATTAGTTTTGGTGTTGCCTTGAGTATCGGTGGTGCTTCTGAAAATGGAAAAAGCGGTCCCATTAAGAGAACAGCACGGCTGATTGGAGTAAGGTGTTGAAGAGAAATCGTCATACTCGTCATCGTCGATCTAGAGAACCTAGTATATCACTTCAATGACCCGAATTCCATTTTTTGTTATACCAATAATTTGAATTCTTCCTTTGTGCTAGCTTAAAGTGTTTTATCAACAGAGCATCAGAGCTCAACATCTGATAAGATTTCGAGAAATTAACCTTACAAAATGAGAATGTTATAGTACTCACCAACACAATATGCCATGGGACATCCAGGAGTGTTTCTTAGGTTGTATATCACAAATTCACCACAATTCCTGACTTCAATCGGTATCTGGATAGAACAACACGTACCAACGAACATGAAAGCATTCCGAGCATTGACACATGCCATACGTGCTACTATACCGTCTTGTGGACTGGGAATAGTACCATTCATCCATATTGGAGCTTGAGTACCACAACGGAATTGCTCAACACACGATGTTGGCATCAACCCGTCAACGAACCTATACCACCCCGGTAAGAGATATCTATCACAGAGTAGGGTATCTAATTGTTTGGGTTGGTGGATTGTACTTCTTAATGGATCACTGAGATTGTTATACCATAAACAAGGGTCATTTTGTCTGGGTTGGGCTACAAAAAATTCATACAACTTCCGAATCAACAGATAGGAGTTAATTGTTCTATTAAATCTATAATATTAAACAGTATAATTGTTTGGAAATAAAAGAAGAGGTGCGATATCGTCATAAAAATATTTGACAAAAACCGCTTATACTCTTTTCTATTAACTTCTTTGGGGTTAAGATAACTTTTTGTTAACCAAAATCACCTCTAGACTCGATTATTGATATGAAATTGAAATCAATTAAATATTGATTTTCTGATTTTCTGAGCGTAGGCTACTAATATCTTGGAAAAATCATTTTACAACTACAGTTGATTCTGATCTTTTGGACCAGTGTGTTAATAATATTATAATCTACTTTAAAAAATAAGACTTACCAAAACATGTCAAAATATTTACAAAAAAGAAAAATTTTAATCCATGTGAACTGTGAGCCATACTGGTAAAAAGTGTGTTATAGTGTGTGTAAGTTACCCCTGGAAAACAGTAATTATTAGCAAGTCCTTTGATGTTTTTGGACGTAATTATTATTAAGGAAATAGCGATTATACATCAAACAATCAGTCACTAATTCCTTTTGGTTGAAATTTCTCACGTAGTGTGAATGAGGTCTGTTTATGTGTAAGGTAATGTCTATCAGAAGTTTCAGTGTGTGGTTGTCTCGTCTTCCATTGTTTTATTATATAAGAGGTGTCCCTTCATTTTCTACAAGGTTTCCTCATCAGTAATCAAAACAATTATTTATTTTTTTCCTCTAACAAGTAGAACAATTTGTAATACGAAATGAAATCTGACTAAGGAATCTGAGAAAAGGTCAATTCTCTTTTGTTAAAGTCAGTTACATGTTTTATTCGTCATTATCAGTACAAAAAGGGGTGGTTTTAGAGCTGAAATAACTATATATAATAATTATTTCACTTTTTTTTTAACATGAATAACTTGGATTCCGCCAGAAATTTGTAACTTGATTCGGTGACTTTATTCATTCCAGAATCTTTGTGTCATTTTGTTTATCCAATGACAACTGGTTTTCGTTTGATTTCTACATTTGGTATATTCTCTGACAACTTGTCAGCTACAGAGGAGGTAATAATAATTGTCAAATAGTGCTAGAATTTTCTGATTTAAATATATAATATTATGGTAAAAATGGCCTCATGATCTTAAGTTTTGAGAGCAGAAATATACATTTGTGCATCGATATTGAGAATAGATCAGTGTTATAACATAAACAGAACTATTATTAATTAGTATTAATACAGAACCTGAAAAAATGTGGTGATTTTGACCAGACTAAAGATTTAAAATATTGTAACAAATTGTAGTAAGATGATTATGAAGACTAAAGGTTGGTAGACGACAAGTTAACGTTCGCTTCCAGCAGATGCTGATATCGCAAACAAGGTAGTTGTTGGTAGTCGTAGTACTTGGATTAGTTCAAATTGGATGATTCTGTGTTGTTGTTTTGGTTGGAAGACCAAACTTCCCAAGTAATATATATAGGTATCGACAACTCTGTGTTAAAATGTATACAATGGTAAGGTGTAAGTCATAACCATACGTTAAAACAATTAACAACCCTTTGTTAAAACTATAGGCCTACACACCTCTGATTCATTCAAGATGACTCTGGGTTCATTAGTCACAGCTATCAGTCTGTTGACTTGCGGTCCAAGGTCTAATAGGATAATCGGATTATTACATATATTTGCATTTTTCAGCTCAATTTCAGTTTAGAATGAAACTTGGTGTCTGGTTCGTCTGTAATTTAAGATAAAATATTAGCACTAAATCTAATTAAGCTATCTATGCCTTTTACTTATGAGAATGGAAATCAGACTTGATGGGTCTTCACAGTATGGACATAAAGAGGCTACATCACAATGCATCTTATGAAATATACAGTGGTGTAAACTATTTTCGTGGATATAAGGATTTAACACCGAATTTCGTCAAAATTGAAAAAACAAAAAAAAATTTTTTATGTCTTAGATGTTTCCTCAGATATTCTACAAAATAATTAAAATTGGTTTATTTCGATTTTCTTTATGAATCCTTCACTTTGACCCATATTTCATGAGCAACCAACTTGGCAACGGCGTCAGAATGCGTCACCTATTTTCGTGTACAATGTTTGAACTATAAATAAGTCTAGAAAAACACGTTGTCTGGATACAAAGTGGTATAATTAACTTCTCTTAGTATTTATCTTTAATATCAATTCATTATAACTAGTGACAATTCCTTCAAAGAACCACGATTTAAAAAAAAAAATAGTGACTGAAAAAATAAGATACGTAGCGTGATTTATTGATAAAAGTCACTGAAACAACATAAGAATATGGCCCACTTTGTGTTCCATAGAAATTTTCTGCTGACACGGAATCCGCTAGTTGATCACGTGACTTCATTCGTTGGACTACATTCTAGCAGACGACACTTGGAATTCCGATTACGGCTAGGGATTATAAGGAAATTCGGCTGATAAAAAATGGTGACGTTTGGTAATAACTGAAATTCGCCATTTTGTATTTGTCAAAGTATACATTAATACATTTTACCTTGCTTGAAACTACTGGATTCATTCTACTAGATGATATTGTAGAGAAAAGCCATGTTTATTAAAACAAACTAATGCGGAGGTCGCGAAAGGCCGCTCATGTAAATTATTATTCCTTTCCGGAAATCCACGAAAATATCCACGAAATTAGATTACTCGACTGTACCTTTTCTGTGCTGTCAATGCATGTTTAAATCTTCAAATGAATGTCCAAAAAAGGCAATGGTGGTTGGGCGAAGCTGTTTGTTTCTTAATTTTCCTTAAGTAGCCTACAAAAACCCCTAAAATTAATTAACAATGGGAACTTCTATAAGGAATTCGTCGTATATTTGGTTCGAATTGCATCAACTGACTGTTCCACTGTAGTCTGTAATGAATTATTCCCCTTTAAAGATCTTCATTGACAAAGTATTACAAATAATTTGTAACCAATCAGAATCCATCAAATGAGTCAGTGCGTTAGAAAATGGCCGACTGAAGAAACGTTCAGAAGTTGAATTTTATTAATTTTATTTGAATATTGAACAACCTAGTTTTATGATTTACTGAAGGTACTAACAGAAACACATTCCAAAGTTTCTGACTTTCATTAATTAGTACATAATACTAGAATAAATGGACGTGTATCAAAGTAGATCTAGATGTTTACTGTTTTTATTTCACTTTTTTTGTTCTTTCCTTATCTCCGATATAAAAATAAGTGATTTTCTTATGAACTGTTGAGTTCACAAATATTGAATTTACAAGTTTCCAATATATATTATTTGTCATTTTAGTCCTTTGGACTAGAAGTTGTTTTCTAGATAGACTATTCACAGGTTTTAATCAACTTGGCACCTACTACTCTCTGACTACAACACTGTTTTCTGAATTGAAATTTGGCAATCATTTTTATATGAATTGAAATATCAATTACGAAATACTACTGACAGTCTAAGATTGTCTTTGGGTTGATGAAAATGCTAACCATTGCGGCATTGGAGAAAGTTGATATTTGTAAACATGATTTTACACTTACACTGAATTTTCAGTCTGAGAAGTAGATCTAGGTCATTTTCACATGAATTTTATGAGAGGGAAGTGTGTCTATTACAAATGCAAAATCACTGAACCTTATATTTAGACTATGGAAAAATTTTATTTTTAATTTTTATGAAATTACAGAAAAAATTCAATTCAGAGCTCAATGTAGTCAGACAGTAACCGAATTGCCCCAAAAGTCAAAATTATTCTGCCCAAGATACAATAGTCAAAATGGACCTTAAAATTACTCTTTCTGCACATCAATTCTTGGTTATGACTACAAGAAGTAAGGGCATATTATAACAACTCAACTCAATTCATTTCTATTTTAGAATTCATACATTATCAAGATGCCACCAAACAATACACTAGCTGTGTGGGGAAATGAGAAGACAATGAATTTAAATAATCTTATTTTAACCAATATCCAATCCTCACCATATTTTAAGATTAATTTATTTAATTTAAAAACATATCATGAAGTTATTGATGAAATATATTATAAGGTGAGGCATTAATTCACTAGAAAAAATTTTGGATTTCAACTTTAACTTTTGATGTATTTGACATCAGATTACATTTAATTTAATAAAATACAAAATGAGAAAATACATGATATCTGAAAATATATGAACAAAAATTTTTGAGTAGGACAATGAATCAGCCTTTACATATTTTTTTTCAGGTGTCACATCTTGAGCCATGGGAAAAAGGAAGTAGAAAAACTGCTGGTCAAACAGGCATGTGTGGTGGGGTAAGTTATTTCATAAGTATTTTTATTATTTCAAAAAATAATTCCAGATGCCATAATACTGTTCTATATTCAAAGTAGTGTGTAGACAATGAAATGGTATGATAATTATAATGTGATTATTATAATGAATAATATTTTATTTGTTTTGTAGGTACGTGGTGTTGGAGCTGGGGGAATAGTTTCTAGTGCTTATTGTTTATTATATAAACTTTATACATTAAAACTAACAAGGAAACAACTAAATGGTTTATTAACACATTCAGATTCTCCGTATATCAGGGGACTAGGATTTATGTATATTAGGTACGTGTTATAAGGTGAGATTTCTACCCTTAATATGAATTGTTTGTTTGAAAATAATATAGAATATCTAAAAATATATCAACTGATATGAAAGTAAATCGTAATTGTTGTTAGATCAACAAAATTTTATCTCATGTTAATGAAAGATGCATTTTAATGGAATAAATGTTGACATCTTGAATCTAGTAAACTTTCTTTTCAAAGTTTTCAACTATTGTTATTTTGAATTTCAATATGAAATAATGTGATAGATAACCACAATTGTTGTCTTAATAATAAATTACTATCAAAATATATTTGTTTTTATTATAGATATACACAGCCCCCAGCAGATCTATGGGAATGGTATGAACCTTATTTTGATGATGATGAGGTATGTTTTCCCCGTCCCTAGTTGAATGTAAAATCTTTGATTTATTATTGGCTTTGATGTTTTGGTTTTTGTAAAAAAAAATAAAAATATATGTTGATATATATAAAATTCTGAAATCTTATTTAAATGAAATGCCCCAGTTCTTATTTGCCAAGGATAGAACTACAAAAGTGGTGAGTACTATGGCTTTCTATTTTTATGAATATATTCATCTCATTTTGAAATAAGTCTAAAAGAACTTGAATTTAAAACTAAATTAATTCAAAATTCTCAAATGTGAATGGAATTGTGAACTAATAAAGATTTGGTATTTTTGTAAATAATACTTTATTGTGTTTTACTCACAGGGGCTTGCTCTAGACCAGATGGTGATATGAAATAACAGTGGAAGATGGAGCCAGCCTCACTATTGAGGTTATAATTCAACCATTTAACATCATATAACTTCTTCATTGTCTTCTATACTTTAAACTACACACAAATACAGGAATATTCACTGGATTACCATCTACAGAAAAAAATCATATGGCAGTATGATTATGATTGTTAAGAGCTTGGCTTGCTGGAAGTGTATAAGATCTAAATTTTGGGAAAGAATTTATTTAATTAGCTTGTTCATAAATTGCCCATTTACTGGCTAGAGCAATCCCATACCTCCTTTATTGCCATCTCCATTGAAAGTTCAATCTATTGATTATTACAGGAAGTTGATGTAAAGGCTGGTGGAGGACATGTTATGTTAATTGGTGAAATGATACGACAATGGTTAGTAAAGTTAGAATGGTATTCAACTTTATTTCCTCGTATACCAGTACCAATACAGAAAGATATAGATAGTAAAATTAAAGAAAGATTTGCTATTGCTCCAAGATTTGAACAGACCAATAATACTGAAAACATACCAGAGAATCCGGTATCCTTTGGTGAAGCTGAACAACGTTTTAATTCCAACAAAAGAAGAAGGTAATTTTTAGAATAAAATGGATGCTTTTGACATATTGTTTTTTTCAGTATTTATGTAATCACTGTTATGGTAAACTGACAGCTTTCTGTAAAATGATTCAATATATTTACTCAAGGTTCTGTTACTCTTTGCTCTTACCGCAAATGTCAATCATAAGGTTTTTTGGGAAACAAATCTCAAATTCTAAAGAAATATTTGATATTTTTTACAGTCCAGAAGTTCAGAGAAGACGATCAAGGTCACCAAAAAGATCTCCTCCCCCACGACATCATTCACCTCAGCATCACAGGCGATCACCACCTAGAAGATCACCCCATAGAAGATCACCACCTAGAAGAGATCACAGACATAGGTCACCTCGCCGATCACCAAGACGTTCACCTCCCAGAAGATCACCACCAAGAAGACCTCCACCACACAGTAGACATTATCATTCATCTAGACCATCTCCTGGTCGTAGTGGAGATGATTTCACTCAGGAACTAGAAAGAGAAAGAAGAAGACAAATGAAGGAAAAGGAACGCAAAAGTAAAAGGTCCAGATCACATGATAGAAGATCAAGGTCTCGTGACAGGAGATCTAAGAGTCGTGAAAGGCGTAGGTCCAGAAGTCGTGATCGTAAAGTAAGAAAGCATAGATCACGATCAAGAGAGAGAAAACGTGCTAGACATACAGAAAATGACAAAACTGAAGACCTCTCTAAATATGAACTGGATGATGATAGTCCTCTACATAAGCAAAACGGGTCCTAACACTGTGTTAGTAGTTCATTTAAAGTGCAGCATCATCTATATTCATAATTTTTAAACCATTCATCAGATCATTGTATATACTTTCATAAAGAGATATTTCTTTTGATTCAGCTTTCCATTAACAATAATAACATCCTTCAGATCTATTCATTTCAAATTTAAGCTGATTTATGCCGGCAGGAAAAAATGAAAAAAGCACAATGATCACAATTCTTCATTAGTCTAATTAAGACCAGAACTCAATTAAAAAAAATTACATTGCCATCAGAACTTGTATGAATATTTACCAAGGAAACTGTTTGCAAATTCTTTTGATTAGTGGCTCTATTTCACAATTTGAATAACTGAATAGTATATATAAATATTTACACCATTGTGTAAATAACATTTATTTTATATTGTTTTGTTAAAGGCAACAACAGTGATCTGAATGCTTTATTTGAGAATAATAGTTGTAAAAAAAAATTGAGAAATTTGTTTTGTCAAACTGTTTCAGAGATTATAACAAAAACCTGGGAATGATAATTTGAATTCGCATCTATCTTCCTTTCTTGAATTCTTTACAGATTTTAATTTCATTAGATGTTTTTTCTACTACTTCACATATTATGATAATAAGGTCTTATGTTAATGTTTTAAATTTTTTAATGTATTAGTATTTTAATTTTGTTATTTCATCATTTTACAATCAAACTGAAAAGCAATAGTAATAGATGATTCAGCCTTAACTAAACATACTAAAAATTGAGTTGATATCAATCTTTTAAATGGTCATTGTCAATTTACCTATAATAAATCAGGCATGGACATTATGTACCATCCCTGGAAAAACAGAGGAAAGGATGCAAAGAACAAAGGATAGTATTCATATTAAACAATTCTCTTCTTGTTACTTGTATTTTAACTTTGATAATTTTGTAAATAGATATCATTATGTATAAAGATAATAAATAATCAATCAATGAATATGAAAAGAGCTCATTTATAAATAATGTCCATATCTGGATAACTGGTTAAGAACTGAGGGTTAAATATGAAGTATTTGGACTATTTAAAGTTATATTATTATATCCAACTGTGGGCCAACAATCCATTTAAGTAAACAATAGATTCACTACAGTAATATTCTTGTCATGGTGTCCAGGCATTGACCACACTAAGATGTATTTTACAGTTGTTTCTGTTGGCATTTGGAGTAAACTAGAATTGAAATCATATCCCTTTTTGAAAAGAAAGTGAAATACTTTAAGGTTTTTCTCTGCTTTGCTGAATTGATTTACAAAATTGTTCCATGAAATATGTTGAAAGTTACTCCAGATATTATTGTAGTCTGAAGTAGGTCGTTATTACCTGTTCTACAATAAGCTCCCTTTATCTCTTCACTCTCTAGTGTTTACATTCGTTCCCCAAGATGGAATATGGCGGGAGACAAGTAACCAGAATGTAATAAAAAAGATTCCCTTGGTCTATTAAATAGGTAAATATTCAGCCCATTGACAATGTTGGTGTAGGACATAGATATTACTTTATTGTTATTCATAGGCTTGATTCATGGTAATTGACGAAGACGTAAAGAAGATCCATAAAAGCTCGTTATTATTGACATTGTGATTATGAAATAAACGGAAGAAGGAGAAGGGACAACTGACTCGAAAAAAAAAAATAGAATTGATAATCAATAACAAGACCAAAACTACATGCTACATAGCCTAGTGGGAAGTGTAATTGCAGTGAACGTCCTGGTTTGTTTTCGAATTGATTTTTGCAGGACGTTCATAAGCGAACACCCTGCTTTGTTTTCGAATTGATTTTTGCAGGACGTTCTTAAGCGAACGCCCTGCTTTGTTTACGTATTGGTTTTTTTTTTGCAGCCCTGCTTTGTTTTCGTATTGATTTTTTTTTTTTTTTTTTTTTCGTCCAGCGCAGGCCGGTTTTCTTGGAAACAGCAACAGGTACGGGAAAACGGACTTCGTGGCGTTTCGTAACTCGTGGCTAATCCCAGCTTAAATGTAAAACGAAAACTTTCTGAGCAACGTTAGCAACGTTGGCAACAAACGGAAAATGGACTCTAGAGGGCGTGTTTATCAACCGATTTTGATGGGGTTTTCTTCATCGTAATTCTTGTAACAAAGGACATATGATAGCAGTTGAAATTTCGATTTTCGAAAATTCGTTCTAATTTTTTTTTTGCCGAAATTAATCGAAAAATACTATTTCGGTTATTATTTGGCGGATTGACTTGAAACTTACATGGTGTAGACTGACAGCATAGTGGAATAAAAGCACACATTCAAAAAAATTTTATCACTTCCGGTTTCGATGTTAGTACTTCCGGTGGTATCACTTCCGGTGAAATTGAGTTATCTCAAAAATAACATATGCATTATATTACCAGCCTTAATACAAACTTATTATATTAAAAAAATTCGCACCGGAAGTAACATTTAGGCCGCCATTTTGGTTTGCCTCATTTTGCAGAAATTGCTATTCAGAGGC